AATTGCTAGATTATTTCAACCAACTACAGTTGAAATAGTTAGGCTTCTAGCATTTACACGCCAAAGACACTATTTTTCCCAGTTATCTATCATATCATTATCATCACCTATGCCCCTCGCAATCACTAAATCTGAAGACTTCCTACACTATGTATTCATGGCCTCATTCTCTTCATCCTCAAGATTTATTGCTTTGAAGTTAAAATTCTAAAATCTAACTTGATCAAACTTACCGTCCAAGGGGCATATGCTTTCCACATTATGACCTCTTATACTCCTACACTCCACCATCCGACATCGAGTCATCAATCATCACCGAGCAACTATATTAACTCAGATTTCAGATTTAAGTATAACACTCATATTAAATAAAAGAATGAATGCTTGCCTCATTTATATGTGTGTCACACAGCAAGATAGCCCCTAGCCATGCTCAAGCGATGAAGCATTCTTAGAAGCCATGCAAGGCACTATGTGCGCCTGTGTACAATACTGCTAAAGGATTGAGCCAAACAAACCAGATGAGACCATAGTGTCATATCCGTAGTTTATTAACCTTAGAAAGAATCAAAGGCCAAGATAGTGATGACAATGTTCTTACCAAAATGACAAATATGAGTTCAAATAGGCCCCAGATATAAGCGAATGCAATATTAATGTCCATGATACGAATAGAATAATTCTAGTTAAACATCCTTGCCCTAGTACACGGTCAAGCAGCAAATCTAGTGTTTAAGTTCAGAAATTTCTTGACCCACCAGGAAGATAAATAAACTGAATTTTCCTTTCAAATTTAATAAATTAAATGGCATTGAAAGCAATTACAGCACAGATTGGCTTACTTCGGTCAACTCAGGATCAGGACTTTGAGCTAACAATGGAAATTCAATTTTGGCTTCGTGATTTTCACTTAATTCAGCTTCAAAATCCTCATCAAAAGCCACTGTTCAGAAACATTGTTAGATTATTGGCATAAAAGAACCTCAACCCGTAAAAGAAAATGACAAAGAATTCACTTCATATGTTTCAAAAGAAAAAAAAAAAGACGCGCACCAGAGCCATATAGGGACAGCAACTTCAATTCTTTTATATAATATTTGAGTGTTCTGGGATGTCGAAGCCATAACCCTGTCAGATGCAAAGCAGAAAGACGCATAGTGCGAGGACTCTTGGTGCCTTCATCAAGAAGATTTTCAATGAACTAACAAAAGAAAGACAACCTCAATCAACAAAACAAATATCAACTGGAAACCTAATTACACACCACCAAGTAATAATGAACCATTAAATGCAAAAAACCCAAAACTACCATCTCAATGGAAACTCTAAAAATTTAACCAAAAAAAATGCTGGGAGCCATAATTATGCCCCAAACCTATTCAGTTAAAATGCATCATCCGCTAGAAGAAATCTCACTTTAGTATTAATATCTGTCACACGATTATTGTAACAACTCAAAATATGAAAACGTATTTTAAAATGAAATATTTGAATTGGAGCGCTGCACTGATAGCCTTTGAGGTAGTATATTGAGGTCGCACTATCCCTACAAGGTCACACTGCCTCTATTGGATCACACTACCCATCAGGGTCGCATTGCCCCTCCAACCTCTCACCTAACATGAAATTTTCTTTGGCTTATCTGATCATCTCTTTTTTTTTTTTTAATTTCCTCTTAGGGATGCAGGCATTTAACTATATTTATAATTATGCACTTGCATATAAGTTGATACGCCTATTTGTTGTATTAGCATATAAGCATGTAAGAATGTATGAATCATATGATACAATCACCGCATGACCATTGATCATAATTTCAGGCTAATCTCAACATCCAAGAGTACGAGGACATAAATCCCGCACAATCAATTCAAATACAAGTATACTGATGAAATTAAACTATTGGCATACTATATTAAAATTGCATATCTTACATCCGCTCCCAGCTGCTTTGAAAATTTTAACACCTTTGATTCTCCTACTCAAGTCCGTTACCTATATTAATTCAAAATTTCTTGATTTAACCACTTGCACAACATATTTTTCTATTTTGATTTTTTTTCATAACAATATACATATAAGTTCGCTATTCTAAAAATAACACTTAACTCCAAGTTTCCTCTCCTCATAGACCTCTCGAATCTTCAAAATTCTCTTGCTTATAAACTTAAAACCTAAATATCAAATTAAGGAATTTAATTTATGAACTTTACATATAAATGAACATTTCCAAAATAATAATATACATATAATTTCATTATCCCAAAAATAACACTTACCTCTAAGTTTCCTCTCCTCATACCCCTCTCAAATCTTCAAAATTCTCTTGCTTTTAAACTGGAAACCTAAACATCAAATTAAGGAATTTAATTTAGGAAATTTAAACATAAATGAACATTTCCCAAAATACTATTTCTTACCTCTTCCTCTTCTTCTCCTTTTGCTTCTTTCTCTTCTTCCACATATCTTATTCACTTTCTCATTCTTCCTTTCATTTTCCTTTTCGTTTCTTCTACCATAAATTCTTACCCAAACTCCCTCAACAATTCTTCCTCCCTCTAGCGCTCAGTCCACCTTCCCCACACCAAACTGGCCTCGATTTGGAACGAAAACTGAGAGCCCACCCTATCTCCCAAGTGTGGTAATGCAAAGGAATTAAATAGGGTTTAAAATTACACTACCCAAAGGTTCAATCCCAGCCCTCCCTAGCGCTTTAGACTGCTACATGCATAGATATGTGGTTTAGGCCCTTAAGCACTAATGCAATACTTACAATATAACATCATATTAATTTAATAAGCTTAGCTAATTACCTAACCCTATAAATGTATATAATTAAACGATCTTACTATTTTGCAGAATTTTAGAAACATATGATATACATATTCTGAGGTATATTAAAAATGGGGTATAATTTACTCAGAAGGAAATTCTTGCCCTTTACCTTATAAACGTGAGTATTAGAGAATGTTCCATTTGATCCAAAATACTATCACATTTGACTGCAAAGTACTTAAAGTTTTGGACAATATTGATTCAAATAAGTGCCAAACAACCGTCAAACAGAGTTTGGTTATGGTTGATATGATATTTGTAAATTATTAAAATAGTTGAAAATTATTGCAACACTTAATCGGTCTCTCTTTAACATATCTTTGAAGATAGTTTCATATGATCAATGAAAAGTTGAAGATAAAAACATTAGTTTAAAAATTTATAGAATAGTTGAAATTTATTGCAACACTTAATAGACCCTTCTTCGACACATCTTCGAAGACTATTTCATGATCAATGAAGGTTTGAAGATAGGTTTAATCATTTGTTCTAACATGTTCAAATAGGATACTTATAAAACATATGTATTGCAATAACACAGTAAGAACTAGTGAAAAAAGTGCAGATGACAGTACAATCATCCACAAGTAAGATCAAATAAGGTTATTAAAAGAAAGTACAATCATAGCAGCTATAACACACCAATTCTATAAACAAATTTATAAATTGATTCATGTTACATCATTCATATTCTATAAACAAAAATGTAAATTCATCCACATCAATCATAACATTTACCACCATCCAATGTACATCATCTCACTATTTTACAAAGGATATGTAATATTGTATAATATGAGATAATTGATATATATATGTATATATATATATATATGTTAAATATATATATATATTATAGTTATATATAAAATATTATATGTATATAATATAAATATTATCATATTGCTAATATATAATATATTATATTATATAAACCTGTCATATATATACATATATATATTCGTATAATATTAGGTATTTTATTAAATATATTTAAAGTTAAAATAGTCCGCTCCGAACTATTCAATATATTATTTTTAGTCACCAGAGATATAATAATTGTTCTTATTAATCCATCAAATATCAAACATATCGCAAATGATCCATTTGGTGACTAAATTTGAATCAATTCAGATCATAATTAAACATTAGGGACTATTTTAGCATCAATTTTGTCTACTAAGAATAAATTGCCGAAGAATTGTGTGTGGACAAATTAGCTCAAACATGAATAGTCTGGGACAATTTTGATATATATATATATTATTATTATATAAATAAAAGAATAAGTGTACACAATAAATACAACATAATAACTATAATATAACTGATGTTCAATTAGACCTTTGGATCATAATTTTTGTGAAATAAATCCAAACATAAATAGCCAATAATAGTAAATTCCATAAGATTCTGTTACGAGTGGACCGGTCCCTACTGGACCGGTCCGATGCTATGCCAGGCGGAAACAGCAAAAGGGGCGGAACCCCCCTGTGGACCCCACGTCTGCTTAAATTGATTTTGGGAGGGAGATTTTTGAATGAGGGGTTGTTTTAGGAAGTCCATTATTGTCCTTTATGATTAATTTGTATAACTAGGATATTAAGGGGGAAAGAGAGCTCATCTTGAATTTGAATGAGATTGGAGATCTAGGGTTTGTTTGTTGTTGACCCTAATATTAGTGTCGGATCGAGTCGACCATGCAAGGAGGGTTTCAAAAGCGAAAGAGCTCAAAATCGTGCAAAAACTCACCCGACGCGTGTTGACCGAAAATCGCCAAGATGACCTCCGTTCGCGAAACGG